GAGAAGATCCAGATGTGATCTGATTAGGTGTAATCCCTCTCCATCGATATGAGCCCAAAACACAGCTCAGAAACAGTCCGCGAGAGGGGAGATATTCAGTGTTTTCCTCATGACTGATAAAGTTGTTTTCCTCTTTCTTTGGAGTGAACAGCAGTTGCGTCACCGGATCACGTCAACGGTTTTACTGTTATGAGTTATGCAAATCACTTTTTCTTGTTGCAAAACAACAACCAATTAACATGTCGGCGGATGAATCGCCGAAGGTCAGCTGACCCGTAGAAACGTGCCCGTCTTTGGCGTTTTCTAATTCAAGAGGAGGCGGTGTGGGAATATTGGGAGACGCGTCACGTGTCGGGCACACGATACGTCGAGTATCGACGTTTTTACTGTGATTCAACCCTCCGCACGCAAACTCCACTGCGTGTAAACTTTGCAAACACGCGCGCTATGCGGGCTGTTCGTGTCCAACTGGTCAAATTAAAGGCCTCCACCTGCGTGTTTTGCAGGGCCCATAAATAGATGCCGGGCCTTTCATCTCCCCCCGTACGGCCTCGGTGGTTACAGCCGGATCCACGGCGGTGCGACGGGCGCTGCGTTTGGAGAAGGACGAGGACGTTGTTTTCCGTCTCCTTCGTGTCGAGGGTTTCACTTTTGTTCACGACCCGCGGTGAGCGCGTATCTGTCGGGCCGATCGGAAGCAGCAGCATCTGTCCGGAAAAGGTCACGTGTCCACTCGACTTCCGACTCCATCCCGTCCTCTTCTTCTCCCACGCGGTTGTGGGGCGCTGAGGTTGTTTGTCTGATATTTACAGTGTGTTGGCCACCAAAAGGGGGTTTGGGAGGTGGGTGTGGGGGGGGGGGGGTTAGGGAACGATACATAGGCGAGCGACACCCCTTCTGTTGGATGCCTAGAGCGCACAGAACAGCCTTGTTTTTCACAGCCGAGTCCAAAAAGAACGCTTGGCAGCGGCTCATTTCGCACGCTTCCCTCCCCAATGTGGCTCCATTGTCTCGTGGGACTGTACCACCTTCAGATGGCCGCGCGTCTCCCTGGTGGACGGCCCTGTTTGGAACATTCGCATCATTAAAGGGCGATCAGAAATATCTGAGGGAGAAAGGGGTGGTTGGTCTGTATGGGGGGTACGGAGAGGGGGGGGTCTCCATTTGGACCTCATTTAAAACCAGCCTCCACAATGTGTTTCCCGTTGGCTGTGAATTATGCTCCTTTTTTTTTCTTCCTGTGGTCCTATTTCGATGTTCGGAAGTTTATTCAATTAATGGCGGGGCGGCCGTGGAGGATGTGGCACCCACTTTAACCACTTCAACCGCTTTTTGACGCGCGGGGAAAAATGGCGTGTTCACCTTTTAGAGACTTAACTCCTCGCGCGGGGAAGTTGCAGCGGCGGCGCCGCGCTGACGTCACGCCGCGCTTAAACACGCCGCCGGCATCCGAACGGGAAAGTCTGCGCGTTGGTTTCACTTCCAGCGCGGCGTCAAACTGCGTCCTTCGGCGGCCGGGATGTGTGGCTTCTTGCCGGCGAGAAAAGACTCTGGCCCCGCCGGTGTGTGAGGGGAGGAGAGGGGAGGGGAGGGGAGAGAGAGAGAGAGAGAGGGGGGAGAGCGGGGGGGGAGAAGGGAGGGGAAGGTGGAAAGTGTCAGTCAGGAACGCTTCATTGCTCGAGGACAATCCACGCGCAGGACCGGTCCGTTTCAAGAGCAATCAGTCAATCCGCATTAATTACCCCCCCCACACGCACGCACGCACACGCACACACATCGTATAATAGCGTTGAGACACACGGAGAGATAAGGGTGTGTGTCTCTCTCTCCCCTCCCCTCACACGCACGAAACCCCCACATTTTAAGTGAAAAAGAACCAATAAAAACCAAGCTACAAAAGGCCTTTCCTTGTCGCTAAATAAATGAAATGCAGATTTGTGTTTTAAGTGGCTCAGCCCTTCTGTGGAACAGGATGCTTTATTGTCACTCCGCCATTAGTGTTGCTGAAGGCAACACGGTGGAAAGGACATGGAAATGAAATGAAGAAATAAATACATCGACTATCAGTGCATCGTGGCTTCGGACGTCTGAGGCGCCTGAGCTATTGCGGCGATGCGAGGCTGGTGCTGTCGGATTGGCGTAATGGTTGAAAAGGCCTATTCGCTGCACAGTTTATGCAATATCACCAGCCCTGGAATATGTAATATCACCGAACACTTCCCAACTGCTGACTCCACATGCGAGATATATATTATAAAAATGCATTTCTTATTCAGTGTGTACAGCGCGTTCATGTTGAGTGACACGGACGCTAATGCTTAAATGATCATCGCTGTTTGCGGAGCACATTCGGGCTATTAAAATATAACGTTGAAAGTGCAAGTACGCGGCATACAGCTAGCTTTCTGTATGCCGCGTGTGCGCGCACGCTCGTGTGTGTCTGTGTGGACACGTGGGGGCTGAAGCCCATTGGAGATCACAGGGCTTTGGAATGCAGGCAGCTATGTAAATAGGAAAAGAGGGTAACGATTATCTAATTAAAGACGTGATAAATCAGATCGCTTTGGCACTGTTTGATTTGAATTATATATATGTCTATTTATTTTCTTATGTATTATATACATAACATATATAATATATCAATTCATTCTAATGGATAAATGAAGACTCGTCCTCCATACACACGATTTATAAGCTGCAGACCAGCTTGGGTCTCCTTTGTCCAGTGTGTTTTGTTGGGGGGGGGGTGGACCAAAGCAATGGAGCCAGGTTCTGTTTTAAAGCAAAGAGACATCAGCTGGAACAAATATACTTTATGAAGTGCATGTTAACTGGTGTCAGCTCCAGATAGAGCCATGCAGCACATATATATTATATATAATATATTTATATATATATATATATTATATATAATATATATATATATATTTATATTATATATATAATATATATTTAAATTATATATAAAAATAAATAAAGTGTTTACTTTGAAGCTGTTATCATGTATATTATTATTAGACGTGCTTCTATGTAACACAAACGTGTTGTCACCCGAAAAAACTATTACGGCTAAATAATTAAATTAATTTATTTGTAGTTTATTTACATATGCTGAGTTTTATTGCAAAAAGCAGAAAATTAACTACTTTCTTTTAATCCCCTTTTATGAATATATAAATTCATTATCATCACCGACCTGTCATTTAAACTGTTGCGAAAAAGCGGAAATGTCCAATTAATTATTGAACAGTTGGCAATGAAAAAGTTTTAGTCAATATTTTAGGCGCTGCAGCAGCACAACACGATGTTATCCAGTATCGTTGCTCTTGTTTACTTTTACGTGAGAAAATCGTATAATTTAGTTCCTTAGAAACCCGATTGCGCTCTTCCCATTTCTTCAGTTAGTAAAAAAAAGGAAAGAAAGCGAGAACTCTCTGGAAGCAGCTGCCTGTTTTCCGGTCCTTCTCGCCGCTCTCGTCTCCATTTACCAAACCCCAAGTTGTTATTGCACCATTCCGCGAATCTGGCCTCTGCGTTTAATACCACGTGTAATTTCTCCCCTTTTACCGTATTCCCTTTGATTTAGTCACTCTTGACTCTCCTTTTGCTCCCAGGCCAACGGGGTTCTCCGTGGGGGGCGCCTTGAAACCGCCCCTCCTTATCTCCTTTCATCGTTCTGCGCGGGGCCGCCTTGAAACCGCAGGGGCAGTAATTGCTTTTTTCAGGCAGCCCAGTGCGGACTGGCCAGCAGCCAATCAGAGCCTTGTTTACACTCGGTGATTGACAGGGTTCTGGCAACGTGCCAGCCAATCAGGAGCCTCGCAGGGCTGAAGCCCCGAGTTTTAACCCTTTGCCTCCACGTTAAAACAGACCTGGAGACGAATATTAGCCCATAGCAGCTCATATATTTCGACGTGGAAACACACAAGCCCGTATCCCTCCACTTTTAATTGGCTAAATTAGTGAACCGTGCACAAGGCGAACCCCGGGGACAGTAATACGTTCAAATTACGCAGTGATTCAATTTGCCCCTCTGCGCGCGCGTGACAGAAATGTAAACAGACATACAGACATAAAATAGATGAAAATACAGCATATTCTTTCTCCCCTTTACCGGAAAAGCGTATCTATCGGGGGACCTTTACTGCTTCCCTATAAAATCACAGCAGCCATTAAATACATGTGGAACATTGACAAGCAGAGCCTGCGAACGCGCTTCCATTGTCACAGGCTCCCGTGCACGAGTACAAGGGGAGGATTTACATTTAATACAAAATCCTCCCAATATCCCACTGGACACATTTTCTATAACTTGCACGTCACTTTTACGACAATTAGAGGCTCTAATCTTCCCTTATCTTAATGTGCTTGTGCGAGAGGTTCAACAAATCACTCACAGAATCCGCAAATGACGATTTATTTAGGAAAACACACGCGGTGGGACGAATGAAAACGCGGATTTCCCCAAAGGAGCGTCAATAAATCGATCACACCGGCCTATTGGCTGTCGAGCAACGCAGAAATAAAACAAAACCCCGACATACACTCGGAGCACATGCGGCGTTTGCGCGGAACGGCGGCGGGATCGCACGCACACGGAGACGGGACGGGCTCCGGTGGCTGTTCGCGCTGCGGGGATGCCGCGCGGCGCGGCAGCTCCGCGCGGTGCGGTGCCGCCTGTCTGGTCGCGTTTGGCCGCGCACGCAGCGCGCCGACGGGCTGCAAATCAAACGCCCGCCGTTTTGCGCTCCGCGGCTCCGGCGGCTTCCTCATTGGCTCTGCGCGACAGCCAATGGTAGCGTGTGTTTACCGTCGAAGGGGGGAGGAGGGGAGGATGGGAGGGGGGCGTCGGCGGTAGGAAAAGGGTAGGGTTGGGGCGGGTGGTGGGGCGCCTCACGGGCACGCTTTCACATTGTCGTTCTCAAACCAATAGGCCTGCGCCCCCCCCCTCCCCTCCTCCTCCTCCTCCTCCTCCTCCTCCTCCTCCTCCTCCTCCTCCTCCTCCCGGCGTGTCTGAATCTCCGGCTGCATGAACGAGCCTCGATTCACTACAAGCCTGAACTTCTACGACGCGCCTCTGCCATACCTCCACTGCTGCGCGGCGCAGGATGTAATCAATCCCACATGTTTCATCTGCGCGACTCGGGGATTTGCACTTTGAATATTTTTGTACTATTTTTCTTTTCTTGCCACGCAAATGGATGTAATTTACCAGTGAGTATAGCACAGCGTTTTCCTACATCCGTGTTTAATAATCTGACTGCGATGTTGGTACATTTCAATTCAAGCGCTGCGTGCGCGAGAATGAGCTTAATGTGACGTTTTGTGGAAATGGATCTTTAAAAAGGTTATTTATTTCCCCCCCAAAAAACAACCCAGTTCCCTGTCACGCCTTTAGATGCGTGGAATTCGAGCTGATGTGACTCTGCTGTACTTTACATGATAATAAGTAATTACACATCCGTATGAAAGCAAGCTGGAGTGTACTTTCTTCTGAATGGTTTATTTCCCGACCCCTCCTGTCCAGCCCGGATCTCACTTCTTGGATCTGACCTCTCAGCCAAATGACTTGTGTTAGTGATTCATTCCGGAGACATTTCGGAACCACTCGCCTCCTCGCGCGCGTAGTTTTCATACGTTCTAAAATGTAGATTATTCGTTGTTGGCTTCCTTCGTGTGTGTGTGTGTGTGTGTGTGTGTGTGTGCGAACAGTTCAGTTCCCCGCGGACCGCAGCGCGCATCCCCCGTCGGCGTGACGGCTCCGCGTGCGCCTCCGCCGGGCTCGTCTCCCCGCTTTAGTCGGCGTCTGAATATCCGGATTTAGTGTCTCGCTTGTGCTCTGTGACTTCACTTAATTGCAAAATTGTTGAATGCAACGAGTCGGCCCCTGAACCCGAGCCGCTAATTCATTTTTATCCTTTCCCCCAAAAGTCCACGCATTTACGATTGGTCGGATTTCTGTTCAAATAGCACAAAACGCGTATTTGAGGTCGGAAACTGTAGATTTCACGATCCGTGAAAAATACAATTGCTCGCGGATTGTCTGTCTTTAGTGCTGACTTCACGTAATGTCGATTCGAGCAGTATTGGGTACTTTTGTTGAGGGGATTTCTGTCGATGGTTTGACCCTCTGCAGGGCAGTGGTGGTTGTGTGTGCGTGTATGTTTAGGAAGTGCGCGTGTGTGTGTGTGTGTGTGTGTGTGTGTGTTTGGGAGGCGTGTGGGGCTTTGGGGGAGTCTGGTTGAAGTGGAAGGAAGTCTGAAGAGCCTTCCACGTAGACACACACACACACACACACGCGCGCAATACAGTCGATCCCGATGATCATTTTCTCCCCGCAAACTGTTACGCGCGATCCGCTCATGTTTGCGTGGCGCGCTTTAACACTGAATTCAACCCAAGTTGTTAAATGTAGTCTGAGTGTCTCTCTGTTGACGTGGAGCGTAAACACCGAGGACGCGTGTTTACGGCCCGAACATGTAAAAACGCACAGACGAGTGTCAGAGGAGAGTGGTTTATGATTGATGCCCCGCGGAGGAGGGCCATTGTTTCTCGCAGCCTTGGGGACAGGAGAGAGTCCATTTTGCCTTCCCAGTGCGCTTGCAGTAGTCTGCCCCCCCCCCCCATCCCCCTCCCGCCGTATAGATGTGGTCGCAAACGATAACGTGGTGCTCACTGACAAAAGGAGAATTAAATCATTTCCATGCACGTGAAGTTTAGGGCCGATATTCTTATGGGAAGCATTTTGCATCCACTGGAAATTGTATGCATGTGAGTATTTAGAGGAACACACACACACACATTCACTCTGTCAGAGCTGCTGAACTTTGGATACCCCCCCCCCCCTCCTCCTCCACCCCCTCCTCAAAAACACAATTCCTGAAAGTTGGAGTGTGTGTGTGCGCGCGCCTGAAGGAGACTTGGACATCTGAGCTCGCGCAGCCAATGCGCTCCACGAGCTCCTGGTCCACCGCAGCATTCGATAGTTTCTTTGTTCCTCCATCGCTGATTCCAGGGAGGTGCTATCGGCATCTACGTGGCGCTGGATGGACGCGCGGCACTGAGAAGCCCAATAAGCGGCGGACTCACTGTCTGAGCGTCACGTGGAGCTCTATTAGGTAAATGACCTACAGGCTATAAGGCACACATACAAAGTGGGTGATTTCTTTTAGCGTCTTTCCCTGTTTATTGCCGCGCTCTTTGGCGCTGGCGCATAAAGACGATTTGATTTGTGTGTGTGTGTGTGTGTGTGTGTGTGTGTGTGTGTGTGTGTGTGTGTGTGTGTGTGTGTGATTACTGTGGAGCCCGTAGAACGCTGTGTGCATGGGGCTCCACTGCCAGGAGGCGAGGGCCTCTGCTGCTGACCCCCAGGAGTTCATCACCGTTTCTTAATAATAAGCCCCCCCCCTCCCCCACAAATAAGAATCAACGGTAAAAAACAAACAAAAAAACAACAGAGGTGAAATAAGTTTGGTAAAGCCATAAAAAAGGACCAGTAAAGTCAGATTTAATTATATAAAGCCATATAAACGCCATTGATCCGAGGCTGACGTGGATACTGGATCTTATACAAAACCCTTGTTTATATATAGAATATCATGTCCCACGAAGTGACCCGGCTCGTTAAATGTATGGATCTGATTTCACGACAACTGAACGGGCAAAGAAATCCAACTTCATTTCCATAAACAACAGCCATCAATCAAGAGGAAACGTGCGTTTCGTGTGTTTTCTGGAGCGCAATGGAACGGAACAAATATTATTGCCCGGGATTTCGGGTGTGTGTCCTCCTGTTTCCATGTTACAGGGCGAGGACGCCCCGGACCATCCTTGTTGCCCAAACACGTCGGGACACACCAACCGACCGACGCGTCTGCGGTGAACTCCGGTGCCCTGAACGCACCATTCGTTCGTACCTGAGACGAATCTCGCACCTCCTTTACTTTCCATTATTTTCGCCGGTAAAGCTGAAGCTCCCGCGTGCGTTATTTGCACCGTGTTTGGTCACAGGGGGGAGAGAAGAAGGGTGAGGGGGGGGGGGAGGGAAGGGGGAGGCAAAGGCTCCAACGAAGAGGTGCGGGGTAAATCCACATAAACTCAACTCAACCAGCTTTCTGGATGTGCAGAACATCGCATATCCATCGTCTGCAAAAGCAGCGAGAACGTCGTGTAAACGTGAACCGTGACCCCCCCCCCCCCCCCAACCCCCACCTCTGTAAATCGCGGTTGTTTGTCCAAAACGCGAGCGGCGCGTCTCTCCCCTCCGCTTGTCGGCGCGTTGACGTGTGTCCCGCTCTCCCTCCTGCAGGACATGACGGGGACTCGGTTTCCAGCCTGCAAAGCCGAACGCACGCTCGACGCGAGGGGAGCCCGAAGTTCATAAAAGGGATTATTTGCATCTGGGTGCCTGAGACCTTCGGTGCCTGCCGGATTTTACTTTGGGATTTTGGGATTTATCGCCTTCTCGACGGGATGGAGAGCCGAGACTTCGCTCCTCCGCACCACCTCCTGACGGAGCGGGGCGCGCTGGTTCACGGCGCCGCGGCTCGGCTGGCGCCGGGCGGCCACGGCTCCGTGCAGCACCCCGCTCACTACCAGCCGGGGAAGTACTACCCGTCGCACCTCTCCATGGGTGCGCACTCAGGTCAGTCCGGACTGCGGCCTTTTCTCTTCTGCTGTAAATGACGCGTGTGACTTCGAATGTTTGCTTTTATTTAACCATAATTTACTCTTTTGTCTGAAGCACATGCTGTCCATATTTCAAACTTGGGAAAACGTTGCAGCCTTTTGGGACGAGTTGGCTTTGCATTTGGGCATTAAGAAATATCACATTGAATAGTTTTATTTTTTATTTCTCTTTATTCGTGACATTTCTGCTTTCTCGGTCGCGTAAAAACAAAACATTTTAAGACATTTCCCTTTTAAAGAAACGTTGCAATTATAATTACTACCACATACCTCGCTTTTTTTTCGCATTTAAAAAGTCGAGGTTTGAGAAGCATTATAGGATTAGTCGTTTTATCACACATGGATTATTAGGCGTTTTTCCATAAGCATAATCTTGTCATAGATTTATATGATTTCATCAATTAGTAAAGTACTAATCATTGCCATTTGAAGTAATTAATTTGAATTGGGTAATTCTACTGCTTATATTTCCCATTAAACAATAAATTAAAGCTATTAGCAGACTGCATTTTCTGTGCACCGTTTCCTCCCTCGTGCGTGGCTCCATGGCGCCTGTTGGGTTGGTGCTGCCGGGTCTTGGGGGCTGGGGGGCCCATGCGGGTTTGTACTGGTCACAAACTGGGGGTCGCGTTGGTGGAAGTGCAGCTCCGGGTAATAGAGGTGCGGGTAATACCAGAAAATCCGGTTTCTATATCGAGCGGGGACGTGACGGGGTGCGAATGGGTTGACAGTGCATGCATTAGATTTAACAAGTAGCTTTGGTATCCTGTCTCAATAGGGGAGGCGAGGGGGTCGGGGGGTGGGGGGGGAGAAAGAAAGAAAGACTCCGCAGTGAAATCATACAGTGTCTGTAAACTGGACTAACTGGATGAATGTGAACGTGCTCCACGAGAAATCTCATTAATTATCATTTATCAAACGCAGCGGCTGCTTTAAATAGACGTCGAGGCGCGAGCCTGTGAATCAATGATCTCGTGCAGGATCCGCACGTCGATGTCTCTCGCGCTCATTTGCATATTCATTAGTTTTACACAACTGCAAAAAGAAGTGGCAAACGTCCAGTGCGGCATTTTATTTTTTTTAATGTATTTAGTATTTCTTACAGAAAACGTACTTTTTGCATTTCCGGTCGGACGGTGAGTTTGGCGCGCTGTTTAGACGTTTAGAACTGAAACAGTTATTTGGGCCCTTCGAGGTCCTGGTTCTGGTTCCGGTCTCCTTCTGCTGCTTCAAATGGAGGAAGCCTGATCAAAAATAATGTTATTTTTATCAGCTCGTCTTGTTCTTCAGAAATATTCTTGCAACCTTCATGACTCCGAACGTATTGTGTTTGTAAAGGATTTAATGTCGTCCAATCAATATGCAACATACGTGGTGCTACAATACAGTTATACTTATCATTTCCCATAATTTCGGATTATTTTGAAATATATTTTGAAATGTAACAAATGAAATAGTGTATAGGCTTAACGTGATGTGCAAAATATATTTTACTCTGCGACACGTGTCAATTTACAGTTGTACACCATAACAATGTATTAAAGAATAATTACATTCATTTTATATTAATACAATATTTTAAAGGTTTTATGATACGTTCAGCGGCTCCTCAAAAATTGACCAAAGTGATTTTAGCCAAAATATGTAATTTTGAGAACTCGTAACTGATGGTGAGATTGTTTCAACAAACACACATCCAACTCGCATAACAATTTAAAGCGATTACACTCCCCTTTGACGGATATCGCTACCCGCTGACATACATTATGCTCCAATTTAAGGATGATTCTGTAACGTTGAAGGGAAAAAAAAGCGTAGTAATGCGGGGTGATAATGCTATTGAAATATATTCAAGGGGGCCTCTCACTGGGTCTCGAGGTGCATGACACTGTATTGAGATTCCAGATATCCAGACTCTCCATGCATGTCCCTGATGGGGTTTTGACTGACGTGATGGGCACAGAGGATTGTTGTTTTGGGATGGGGGTTGGGGTACGTGAGTGTGTGTGTGTGTGTGTGTGTGTGTGTGCTGGGAGGTTAGGATGGGGGTTACCTTTGTGCTTGCCCCCTTAGAGATTCAGAAAGCTGTATGCCTGGCCCGAGGCCTCGGCACAGGGGGCAGATTTGATGTGGGGTTGGCCATGCCGGGGCAGGAGAGGGGGGGGGGGGTTGTTTCAGATCTTTGGAAGGAGACACAGACACATTTTTTTTACTGTCTCACAGGACCGAACCGGGTGTATCACTTACAGTAATTCAAAGTATGACCTCCCCGTTTCTTCATATGCAGGAAAACCTGCAATCCATCAATTTGCTGAAGCCTCTTATTTAGATCAGCATGGTGTCTTCTTGAATACGGTCGCACTTGACAAGGTGATGGAATGACAGCCGCTTGCCGACGCCATAAGATTCAGCCCACATTCGATAACCCCCCTCCCCACCCCTCGCATGCCCCCCCCCCACAATGATATTACACAGGCGCTTAGATTACTGATAGGAGCGGTGGGAAAGCCTTTGTCTGTCTCTCCCTCCCTGTTCCACCGCTTCGCTTTTATTCCCGTCTCCCTCGCTTTCTTCCCTTTTCCCTGTGATGGTAGCCCCTGGGCAGTAGTTGTGCGAGTGTGTGCGTGTGTGTGTGCGTTTGTGTGATTAAGGTTAGGTTTAGCCTGCAGTAGCACAGGTGTGCAGCATTATGGAGGGCGTGGCAAAGCTTGTCATTGAACAGGTGTGTTACTTCCCAGACAGCAGACGGTTTTTGTTTACATGACTGTGTGTGTGTGTGTGTGTGTGTGTGTGTGTTTGTGACCCAGTAACACAGACAGAAAGAACGCCCATTCATGTCACATGTGTGCTCACATGCACAGCTGTACACACACACAGACACACACAGACACACACAGGGCTGTGTTGAGCTTTGAAAAAGTAATGAAGCATAATCACAGCGATTTGGTCGGACTTCTCTTCCTCTTTTACCTCAATCTCTCCTTCTTTGACCTCTTTGAAGCACAAAAACCTGCAGCAACAATCCCACGATTTCTTTCAGCTATAAATGCGTGCGTGTGTGTGTGTGTGTGTGTGTCTGTGTGTGTGTGACATGCTGCCGCCTTGTCCATTAATCACGATGCCGTCATGTCTCTGTTCCCTTGGAAGTTTCTCCGCTCTGGCTTTGATCTCACGGAAGCACACATGAGACTCGTCCCTCCGACCTGCACCCCGTCGCACCCAAACTCCTCACGTAAATAGAAAATATGCTGTGTGTACATCATTTTGGAGGTTTCTGTCTCTTTAGCTGCTTGTAAAATAAGGATTAGACAAACAGGTCATTGTGTGTGTGTGTGTGTGTGTGTGTGTGTGTGTGTCGGGTATTGACGCCCTGGTCAAGAAAGAAAGAACTGGAAGAACAGAGAATACGAGCAAATGATAGATGGATGGAGCAGAGGAGGAGGAGGAGGAGGAGGAGGAGGAAGAGGAGGAGTTGTGGGAGTCGAGAGGCTGAATGTTTCCACCTGGTTGGTAATCCAGTCAGATTACCACTGCTTGACGGCTCCCAGTGGCGGGCGGGGGGGGCGGGGTATATATGTGTGTGTGTGAGAGGTGAGTCAGCAGCAGTGGATGAGCCGGCGCTGCCCGGGTACATGGGGCACATCCCCGGTGCAACGTGCAAGCCCCCCGCCGCCGCCGCCCCCCCCCCCCCCCCCCGCGTGCAGGAGCGGAGTGTAAACTGTCAGTTCGGTTCAAGTGAAGAAAGGAAATCCTGATTTACATTTGTGTCAATAATTCACCAACGCGTTGTTGGGTGTACGCAGGAGTCATTGGTTGAACACAAAGGATGTTTTGTCCCAAACCCAAATATGGATTCAAGATTTCTTTTATTTTTTTAATTATATAATAATATAATAATGTATTTTATAATATAATCCCTTTTATTGCCACATGCACCTTTGGTACAGTTCAACGTATATTTTAATAAATGATGTGAAACATATCAAGTCATAATATTCATTCACATTTCACACCCACAGAAGTGCTGCACTAACCTAAGATAAAATATGCAAAAAGGCCCAAAAAAAAATCAGTGAAAAGATTCCGACAGTTTGAAATGTGTTTAAAGGCATAAAATTCATCAACCAAAGTCATTAAAGGCCTTTACTTACAAATCCTCATGCTTTGATAATTCAAGCGAACTGGGGCCCATCATTTAAATATATTCCTGAATCTAGTTTTGTCTAATTGACCTCGGAGTAACGGTGACCTCGGAAAGGTCACATCCCCACAGCGCGCCGGCGGAGCGTCTGAATAAGCGGCGCGGAGGCTCCGAGCGAAAAGCGCACGTTTGTTTCCCGACGAACATTTGCTGCACCGACAGAAGACTTTTGTCTCGCCTCCAACTCTCGTCCAACATGTGAGCAGCTGCTTATTGTCGGTGGCGGCGATTCGGAGGGAGTGGGGAGCGCTTGGTTGCGACATCTCCGGGGTGTGAACACACACCGCCATCTGATGACTTGGCTTGTGAGTGGAAAGCGCCAGACTTCCTGTGGCCATGTGCTCTCTGTCTGTCTTCCTCTCTCTCTCTCCTCCTCCCTCTTTTCTTCTTCTTCTTCTTCTTCTTCATCGTCTTCTGTCCCTCTCTGGCCAGGCCTCCCTCTTCTTCCTCTCCTTCTGCTTCCCTCTCTCACTTCCCCTTCTCTCTGCCTTCGCTCCTCAGCTCCTGGAGTGGTCCTCCAGCGCTCCTTCCTCCTCACTGCCACCTCCCCCCTCTCTTCCTCCCCCCCCCCGTCTCTTCTCAATCGATCCCCAGCTCTTATATCCAGCTCCCCACACACCCAGCGCCTCCTCGCCTGGTTCAGACCAGCTCCTCTCCTTTTCCACATTGTCCCCCTCCAGGTCCATAACCCCCCCCCCCCCCCCCCCCCCCCCTCCCCCTCTCCCCACCATCATCCGGGCCGGTTGTAAACGGGC